ATGATCGAACTGAATCTTTAAAATCTCACTGATTTAAATACGTTGCCATCCTAGGTTTGTGAATGAAGCTTTCTCAAAATCATGAATGAACAATAGTATTGATCTGGCTAACAGATGGGACACAAACACAAAGGACTGATACTTTTTTATTTTATTTTATTTAATTTTGTTATACCCTGGGACCAGACTCTTGAACGTAAGGCAGGGCACCTGAAAGGAAATGTTTTCCTTTCATTATAGGTTTAAAATAATACATTGAAACAGGGAGTATCTCTGAAAATCTATTAGGCACAACCTCCATTTAAGTATTCTCCGAATAGGCCAGAATTGCAGCTTGTACTCGGCATCTAATGGTTTCACAGGAATTAATTGCTGTATCTCATTTTCTCATTTGCATTGTTCAATCTCTAGCAGTTGAAGAATCAGCTAATCTGCCTCCTTCCCCACCTCCATCACCAGCCTCAGAACAGACTGGAACACTGGCAGAAGGTAAGGGTCCCCTGGACATTTCAGAGTATATCTATCGAGGAAGGGAACAAATGCTCGTACGAAGAGGTGGGGGAAGTAGTAAATGGAAATACTTCCTGCTAGCTTCAGCTTAAAGAGTAAGCATTCCCCAGCAATGCAGTGCCATCTGCAAAGTGACCGTAACACACAAATGAGATATATACATATACACAGGGATAATTGGAAGTAAGCAAAAATAAATACACAGACATATATATATATATATGAACAATAATTATTAATAGATATTACAAGCCAAGATGTCTAAATAGTGAGACTTCCCAAGTGTGAGCCTAGAACGTGGTGTTAAATATTGATTACTACAGTCTGTTAAGATGTGTTTAGTTGGAAATTAACCAGCATTAATATTGTTTCACAATCCAAGTCCATACAAGCAAGGAGATTCAGAGTTTGATTATTCTTTCTGCTTTCCAGCTTTAATTCACATTTCTGTGCCTTGGTGTATATGGGGATTCTGTACCAGGGTGCCAAAGTGAAATTCTACTCTTAAAGCAAATTATACTTTCTGATCCACACAGTAGTACTCAACGTCTGAGATGACATTCACATTTTCCATATCTGGATGATTGGCTGAATTCAGACAGCTGAGCCACATGGTAAACTATGAAAAATCTCTCTGCGTATCAGTTTTTAGAAACATCAATCTATTCAAAATCAGCAAAAATATATTTTCCCAAGTATAGATTTTGCTCTATCCAGATGATTGACACCACAGAAAAAACCTGCCACAAACTTCTGAGCCACATGTTAGCTTGCACATGTGTGACATTACTAAGCAGACTTCATCTATGTGCATTAAAGGCTGGCTAAAGTCAATGTATCACACTGCAAAACATCAAATAGGCATGCCAGTTCTACTCTGGGCTCCCAGTCTGTCAGTACCGAACAGGTGGTCAAACCCGCTGGTACCCTTCTCCACACTACTGCCTACAAAGACATTGATCACAGCTGCATCAGGAACAGGGTGCAGTGCATACCTGGACCACCTCCATATACAAGGACCTGCATCCCAAAAGGGCATGAGGCTACACATAAAACCTTCTTGTCATGACCTGCTCCTTCCTGGGCACACACCATATTTATCAGGGTCTGTGGATCATTAGTGCAGCCATTTAACCTCCCTAGTCTTCTCGGGATACGTGTCTATTTTGGCTGCTTATCCTAATTCTGTTTTCGAGGGCCTTGCAACTCCCTTCCAAAACCCACCAACTGACTACACTTTCAACTGCTTGGTTTGATAAACAGTAAATTTATTTAACCTGACTAGACATAACAATGGTCAGTAACCTTTCTAGTTCTTGCACTGAAAGGGACATTCTATGCTTTAGAGAACCTAGTGGAGCTTCCTCTCCTCACAAAAGCCACCCAAAGAATCTTCTCTCCCTCTCTCCCCAGGAGTCAACTGCTGTTCCTTCAAATTAACCCGCCGCCACCGAATTACAAGCTGTCATGGCTGACCCTTCACACAATATTCCGTAAAGATAAGGTGGTTGTTGAGACCTCATCCCAAATTTATTTCTGAACTTGTCACACTTATTTGAACCAATCTACCTGTCTTCATTCCAAAACCCCATTCCTCTCCAGTGGAGAAGAAATTCCCCCACTTTAGATGTTTGTTTTTAGGCCTGTGATAGGACAGAGCCCTTCAGACACTTCCTGTCTTTTGTTGTTGTTGTTGTTTTGGTTGTTGCCATTTCTCGTGCTTCTAAGGGACAAGTAGTTTCCGAGATAATATCTGAACCTAAGTGGATTACAGTGCATTTCAGGCTGCTATCGCATGGCTGGTATCAAAGCTTATTCCACTAAAGTGTGCTTTAGAAACATCCACATACCTGAATTTTGTAAGGCAGTTAGTGGCAAGCAGGACTCCTCAATCCCATCTTCCAAATGGGCCTCTGCTCATCAGTCATTTAGAATTGGAGATGCATCTTAGCTGACATCTTGAAGAACCACAGTTACTATAAGGTAAGTAACCATTCTGTCTTCTAGTGCAGGCAGTGCCATCTCCCATATCCTCCACTGTCTGAAGGGAACTGGAAGTTTTGAGAAAAGCAGTTGGTTCAAGCTAGATCCAATAAGATGGTGACGTTATCGAAAACACTTTGGAATGGGCAGCTTTTCATTTTCATTTTAAGAGAGGGCCTCTCACCACTGGGGATCAAAATGGTGCTTACTGCATGCATCAGTGCTCCTAGATACATTTGCTACATAGCAACAATTGCCATAAACAACTTCTAATATCTAAATAGTAAATAACTGAATATTCAGACCATGCTAGACATATTTTTAATGTTAGCATTATCAGTAGTAAATATCCTATTAAAGATAAACAGGGTGAACTAAATACACTTATGAGATAACTGCTTCACCATTGGGGTAGGTGTGTACATTCACTTGTAATGAAAGACTGTTGTATACGGAGTCATATTTTTCTAAAGTAATGTGCAGTGTTGAAAGGATAATTTACTTTAGATAAGAAGTGAGAACTAGTACATATTCTGTTCCGTAGATTGTGCTCTAAACACAAGCACGAAGACTTAAGTGAACTACTTATATAACAAAGGTAGCCCTTTTGTGTGTGTGAATTATTCAGATTTTTCTTTTATGAATTGGTTCATTATTTACAATTATCTGACAGATGGTTTGAGCATGTTTCATCCTGTGGATTAATCTCAAGTATTTGCTGCTTCAAGGATTTGTTACCTAATTTTCTGTCCGTTCTGTCTGGTCATCTGTTTCTGCTCCCTGACTAGATTCTCATGGGTATTTGCAACCTTTCTCTTCCTGTGAACACTCTAGGAACAAAAATGTACTTGTACTGCAAACGCCATTAAAGCAGATTTTCTGTCTATTTGAACCAATGCTTATTCATGCTCATTTTTTATCATTAACCCAGCTCTAGTGAAGCAAGTCTTATTCCCATTATTGTGGCATAATGAATTCTAAACAGAGTAATCTTTGAGCTGTGTGCACTATCATGGACCTAACTCTTCATGCTTCTGTTTTGCTGCAGGGAATGTACAAATACCTTGAGAGGTGTTTTTCAGACTTCAGGCAGAGAGGCTTCGTTGTTGGATATGACACGCGAGGTCAGGTGACCAGCAGCTGCAGCAGTAAGAGGTATGAGGATTGATTCCATTTGAAAGACTAGAATTTTAAGTGTGGCTTATAATGGTTCTCTTCATATGGGGAATTTTATCAGGAATTTAGTGTATTCTCTATTTATATTTCTGTAGTGCCTAAGAGTCCTAGTTATGGACCCCTAGTGCTAGGCGCTGTACAGACCCATAACAAAGACAGTCCTTGTCCCAAAAGAGTATACCATGTAAATGCACAAGCACTCTAAACAGCAAGACAGTCACATGATGTAGAAATCACTATATGTGTGTGAGACTTAAGTGTGAAAGGAAACTTAAAATACTAAGCCCTTAACTTGAATTCATCAAAAAACTGCACGACTGGTTATCAGTGTTTTGAGTATTGAGTTTTATTGCAAAACTGTAGTTCTAACTCTGTCAAACTACACATCTGATTTAAACTTTCACGTGGAAAAGGAGGAATTCCTCCTTCAACCCTATGTAACTATCATAGAATCATAGAACATCAGGGTTGGAAGGGACCTCAAGAGGTCATCTAGTCCAACCCCCTGCTCAAAGCAGGACCAATTCCCAACTAAATCATCCCAGCCAGGGCTTTGTCAAGCCGGGCCTTAAAAACCTCCAAGGAATGAGACTCCACCGCCTCCCTAGGTAACACATTCCAGTGTTTCACCACCCTCCTAATGAAATAGTTTTTCCTAATATCCAACCTGGACCTCCCCCACTGCAACTTGAGACCATTGCTCCTTGTTCTGTCATCTGCCACCACTGAGAACAGCCGAGCTCCATCCTCTTTGGAATCCCCCTTTCAGGTAGTTGAAGGCTGCTATCAAATCCCCCCTCATTCTTCTCTTCTGGAGACTAAACAATCCCAGTTCCCTCAACCTCTCCTCATAAGTCATGTGCTCCAGACCCCTAATCATTTTTGTTGCCCTCCGTTGGGCTCTTTCC